TGAATGATGATGAGGACCTGCCAAATTTTAAAAGATCTACGTTCCATAAGCTGTTCAAAGAACTAGACTTTCGATTTTTGAAACGAGGAAGGAATAGTTTATTGATAGAAAAGGAGGAAATTGTTATCTGGAGGAGAGAATACCTTAGAAAAGGAAGGAAGAAAAATTTATTATTTAGACGAAACATGGGTGAACGCGGGGCATACGCAGGGAAAGGTTTGGGTAGACAGATCTGTGAGGTCCTCAAGGCAGGCTTTTTTAGATGGCCTTTCGACGGGATTGAAAAATCCTGCAGGTAAGTTTCGAAGTATATGAACTTTTTTGGATGCAGATAATTCATTTTCTGATCGAATCAATGATTTGGAAGCTCCGAACTCAGTTTTGCTATCTCATCCAAGTTTCTGAGTATTTCCTTCACCCAAAAACTAATCTAAGACCCTATCCTACACTAACCTAAAAAGAGTAAGTTGCTTAATTTCGTCATTTAGTGCGCTCGCTGAGAAGTAACATAACTAATTACTTTCAGGCAAGGGAAAACGCCTGATCATTTGCCACATAGGTAGCGTAGATGGATTTGTTCCTGAAGCATTGTGGGCATTTGAATCCAAAAAAACTGGAGACTATCACGAAGAAATGGATGGTAACTCATTTGAAAATTGGTTCAAAAAAATTTTGCCGACACTTGATGATAACGCAATTATTGTGATGGATAATGCCCCGTACCACTCCAGAAAATTGGAAAAAATTCCAACAATGGCCACCAAAAAGGCAGACATTCAACAGTGGCTTGTCTCAAAGAAGATCGACTTCGACCAAACAATGGTCAAAGCTGAGCTGATAAATATAGTCAAGCGACATAAGTATAAATATGATTTAAAAATGTTGACGAAATGGCCAAAAACCAAAATAAAACGATTCTCAGGCTGCCTCCCTATCACTGCGAGCTGAATCCTATCGAGTTGATTTGGGCCGACATCAAGCAATACGTGGCGTCAAATAACAGCACTTTTAAGTTTTCTGACCTTAAAAAACTGTTTGATGTTGCTGTCGATAGAATTACGCCAGCAAAATTGAGAACATGTATTGACCATGTCCAAGAGAAGGTTGAAACCAAAATGTGGGATATGGACAATATCATTGACACCCAAGTTGAACCCCTTATAATTGACATCAACAATTCTGATGATTCAAGCTCCTCGGAATACAGCATATAAATCGATTGATACCATTAAGACTGGCAGTTTAACGGGCTTTTTGGCAAGACAGGTAAGTTCATTATAGACTGCAATCAAAGTGTAAGTTTCTAGTTATTAATGTGGAAATTCCAAATTTATAATTACACAAAATTAGGGTTAATTTAGGAGTTCCAAAGCATAATAGTGCCATTTTGACCTTCTTCCTATTTCTCATGTAAATTTTAATAGCAATCAAACTAACAAACTTTATAGAGTCTGTAATAAACTTTTGTACTACTACTACTACTACGTCTGTAGTTTCTATTTGCTCAAAAAAATTTGCTCTGCATTGTGAATAGAAGGTTGATTTGTAAATATTATTGGGTATATATGTAAGTTAATAATAAAATATGAACAATTTCAATTGAGATGGTCCACAATTTTTTTTTCGTGTGCGTTTTAGTAACATTTTGCTGAAATGGTGAATACAGAATTTTTTGCACTGATTCCTAATGTCGAAATATGATTAGAAAGGCGTGGTATATTCCTGATAATTTACTATGCTTTTGATAGAATTTACAGCAACACATATCTTGTACGACATTTTTTGATAGATCAGTCACAATAGCTTGATACGGCCCTGTAGCGTCTCCTACGGTTAAGTTCTTGATCACGTGCAATACGGGTGTATATGTTTGATTTTACTTTGTTTCTTCGATGGATACAGTTTAGATCACCGGATATGACACCGATGGACTTCGTTCTATGGGGCTACGTTAAGCAAGAGGTTTATAGATTCCACCATCTACCCCGGAAAATGTGAAGGAAAGGATTAAGGATGCTTTTCTGAACATAAGGGAACACATGCTGAGAGATGTGCAATGGACATTTATCCAGTTTTTGTAGATTAGGTCTTGAGTAGTGATAGTTGTTTGTTTATGTTGTTGTTATAGTTGTTTTTCTCTATTACGCTTGAAGCTGATTTATACTGTTCTGATTGTTATTAGTTTTTACATCAAATATGTACTCTTAGTGGCAATATGGATCTAGCCCATTGTTTGTCTTTTGTTTCCATGGATGATGTGACTTTTTTACTTAATTTTGGTGTGTTGTTCTATTAAAAGCTTAATAACTCAAAATGTAGTGGTTTTATCTGAATCAAACCTTATACCAAGAAAAGCCTATAAAAAATTGAATCAAAACTTGCACAAATATACAGGGTGATGCACTTGAAATTTTTGAGAAAAAGTACAATTCGCGTTTTTGACCACCCTGTATAAGCAAAAATGAAAATTCGAAAAAGTAACAAATAAGATAAAAGCTGTGTTTTTCTGGACAAAACACCTTACATCTCAGTAGCTAAGTATTAAAACTCCATAGTTTGTTGTATCAATCTTCTTCTTTTGAATTGGTTTATCCAAATATGCAATAAAATATGAGGCATTCTACTTAAAAAATCACACCTTTGATATGTAGGTCAAAATTGGGACACCTTGTATAATTGCCAATACCTTAAAAATGTGCCCTCAAATGTCGTGTATAACAAACCATAAATAGATTTTCCCAAGATGTATTTGTTTATGAGTAATATTCCATCCACACATGGATGGGCCACCATGTATACTTAAAGAAGATTTTGAAACCTTCTCAACAGTATACTGTTTGCTTTTTCATATTGTTCCTCGGGATCGAAAATAGCATACTTCGCACCTTTTCAGATATTAGGTTGCTTATATCTGGAAAACTGTCAGCTTTGGAGAAGGGTACTTGGGTATATTTTTTGACACAACAAACTAAACAAGCGCAGCAATTTTTGAAATATTGTTGGAACATTTCTAAAGCGTATAACCGCTTACACCATTTGACAAATTGAACAGATACGGAATGAGGGCTAATATATTGTCCTGGGTAAAATTCTATCTTACAAATAGAAAACATCGAGTAGCGATAAAAACTACGAGTAGATAATATCATCATCAAGCTAGATTTTATTTGTAATGAGGTGGGTATAGTACAGGGCAGTGTGTTAGGTCCCATATTATTTGTCATATGCATCAACGATCTAAAAGATAGCATTAAGAACTATGACTTTACAAAAGTTAACTATGCTGATGGTAGATACAATAGAAATAATTATCTCACGCAAAATGATCACACATGCTGTATAAGAGCTTTGAATGTTTTGGTACCTCAGCATAGACTCGTTTTACATGCGCGCTAAATTGTATGATAAACTACTTTATCATTTAAAGGGGATGGAAGGTACAGGAACCTTCAAAAAGAAGCTGAAAAGGATTTTAGTTCAGCTGGAACCATACAATATTTATGAATACATAAATGCTTCGTTTTAGTTTTTTTGCATGGGTATGATCTTAGTTCCACATCTATGTCATTCATACATGTTATGTATTTGTCATTCTAGATTTGGAATAAATATTGTTATTATTAAACAATTTTTGACTAAAAAAACAAGATTTGTTCGGAAAATACGTATAAAAAATTCGGTGCGTCGTGTCAAGGTGTTGTGGAGGGGGGCCTGGTGTTTCGCGCTCTCTATGCAATACCCTCTATGCTCAGTTTGAGCCGGAGTGCTCTGCTATCAAGTTTCTTGCAAAGCCAGGCAAGAATGGTCGTGAGATTTTTGAGTATTTGGAACAAGTCTGAGCTGTGTTCTTAAATACCGTCGATTGACAGTCAATCCCCAAAACAATCGTCCACGAAATTCTGACAGAAAAACTTGGAATGAGAAAATTGTGCCGGAAACTCGTTCCGAAGCTCTTGAATCCAGAACAGAAAGCAAGGAGGGTTGCCTTGCTGTGAGGATTGGTTGGAAGCAGAGGAAAGGGGGGACCGATCTCAACCGGGTCACCACTGGAGACGAGTCTTGGTTTATACAAATTCGATGTGGAGCTGAAATCTCAAAGCATGGAGGAGAAGCAAGCAGGGGAGAATTAAAAAGTTGAAAAAACCAAGGTCCTTTATGAGAACAATATTGATTATTTTCATTGATCTCGGAGCATTGTTCACCAGGAATTTGTCCCGCCCGACCAGACCGTAAACGGAAATTTCTAAATTGAGGTTTTGCATCGTCTCAGAGCTCGTGTGGCCCGTGTTCGACCGGATTTGGCACAAGGGAGCAGGTGGATCTAGAGATTCAACATATCGGAAAAAACGGGAAAAATTAGGAAAAAAACACGTTTTTTCCAGACCACGGGAAAAATTGGGAAAAATGGGAAAATTTAAATATTTTTTAATTGTGACTTGAAACGTAAAAAATAGGTACCAATTTTAAAGTTTTTAAACATATTTTGTAAAAATGAATACAAAAAACATACTTTAATAATATCTATCAATATCTAAGATATAAATACATACATGTATATAGGGTCAAATTATAATTATTATCTAATAATTTAAAGTATCAAAAACAAAGCTTCAAAGGTAGAAAACACATTATTTAACCAAAGCGCTCAGAGGTATATTTTCATCTGAGTCTGAGTTTGAATCTTCAGACCAAGCATCTGATTCAGACTCGATCTCCGCTTCGTCTTCATGGACGGACAAAACAGCATAATTTTTGCCAGTGTCTTCTGAAATTGGAACTGGTGTAGCATCGTAAATGAATGTCTGTTTTTCGTTTATAACCAAATTAGAATGAATAGCAACTAGCTTTTGAATTTTATCCTGTGATAATCTATTTCTTTTGCTTGCTTGCATGTATGAGGCCGTGTAAAGACCAGTTTCTTTCTGAAGAGGCGGAAGATGGCGGTCCATTTAAAATTCGGGAGGCAATTGGCATAAGTTTCTGCGATGTACACAAGCCTTGCCACCATATAACGAGATGAGTACTATTCGCACTATCCCATCAAGAATTTCGACTAAAAAATCCAGTTTTTGTTCTAAATTGGGCTAGATTTGCCACCACCTTCCTTACATCTAGATTTAGTGAACGAGCCATTTCAGAAATGAAGTCTATTGCTTCCATTAGTTGGTCTTCATTCAAGTATTCTCCTTTAAACCGAACATCAAGAAGATTGGCTGCAAAGTGAATTGGCTTAGAACAAAATTCGTAGCGTTCTTCAACACACTTTAGCAAGCTTTTGATAAGAGAACTAGTCAGGTCAACTTGTTGGGGAATATCTAATATTGTGTCTTTTATATACTTAAAGACGAAAGGCACTTCTGATAATATAGATCTATCCGATTCTACTAAATTTATCGATATTGATACAGGATGCAAGATTTGTTTAGTATATTGTAGGTTTTGCCAGAACGCATCATCCAATACAACTTTTTTAATATTTTGTTTTACATTCAGGTTTTCCACAAATACAGTACATTGCAGAGCTTCCTTATTTCTTAAAAGCGAATCAACAGTTACAAAACGGAGAACTTCATCTTGTTTTTGCAAGTAATTTGAGGGAAATTACTTTATTTTTTGGGTATATTTCGGCCTGTGCTTCTTTAAATGCAGCATAAAGTATGTGGGGCTCTTTAAATTTTAGACTCTTTACTTATTTTTTCAAACAAATTTTCTTTCATAAAGTCCTTTAGTAGCAAACTCAGAGTGTGAGCTGCACAACCAACACAAGATATATGAGGATATGTTGTATTTATAATATGTCAAGCAGCTTTCATATTGCTCGCATTGTCAGTCACTATTAAAAAAAATTTTGTGGCCCTATTTCTTGAATAACTTTGATAAGTTCATTACTTATATACGTTCCCGTTTGTTTTGCAGTACCACGATGAACAGTTTTGTAAGATAAAGGCATAGGCGTGCATATAACAATATTGATTAATCCATCTCCGACTATATTTCTCCAACTATCTGTTACTATTGATAAACTATCGGATTCAGAAAGCTTTTGACTTTGGTTTATCTGTACACGTTCATACTCGGAATTAAGTAAGTTTGTTGACACGGCGTAAGGGCTAGGTATTTGGTATGACTGTCTTAACATTTTGAAAACCTGTTCCCAATATTTATTTTTGAAAAGAGAAAAAGGAGCACCAGAAGCATAAATAGCCCTAGCTAATGCCTCATCAATTTTAGAAGACTCTGAAACAGCTATCTTATCGAAAAACCCGCTCAATGTTTGTTGGCAGCTAGCTTTCTTGCGTTTTACTGATGGTAATGGAGATTTGGAAGATGATGACATTGATGACGTGTCCTTTTTGCTAGTTGACGGGAGACTGGTATCTTCTAATGCTTCTAGCAGGATATCTTTGTTACTTCCTTTTTCTTCTGACGTCGAAGGCTTCGAACTCGATTGTATTTCATTGCCATATTTTTGTTTTATTTCCAAAGGACATTTTGAACATTGGTTTAATATATGATTCGTCATGCGAGTTGCGTTTGGAAAGGCGTATTTAAAACAGCAAAACTTACACACAGCCTTGGATTTTTTATCTGTTTCTTAAATATCAAATAATTGCCAAATATCTGAAGAAGGTCGACCCATATTGTCCGGCAATAAGAAAAAAATACATAAATAAAATATCTTGCTGCACTTTATCAACTAATCAAATTCTTGTAATTTAATGAGTATACAGATTATAATTATTATTACTGAATCTTGATATTAGTAATGAAGAAAAGTAAGGAAAATAAGCAAGGAAACTGAAATCCCACCTTCAAAACACTTAGAGCTATTCCAAATTTAATACAATATTCACTTACCAGAAACCAAAAGAAACACTTGGGTCAACAACACTAACAATCTTCAGAACAAACACACTCAATTATTACAGCAAAATTTCACTTTGTATTATTCATTTACTGCGCTTATGATAAGGCTACATTAAAATGCGTGCTTTAAAATAAACAAGACGAATCTCATTCTCAACTGAACAATTCAGGAATACGGGGATTTACCGAAATGCCGTGACGCTGTGCGTGATCGGGAATTAACCGAAAGCTGTAGTGGTCGGGGATTCACCGAAAATCGACGGGTATTTACCGAGAACTAATCCTTCAGAGCCGTAGCTTGCGGTTTTGATTCAAATTATTTCTGTTTGATTTATATTAATGGAAAAATCAGTAACCCGAATGCTTTTATCTTGTATATAACAAATTTCAATTTTTCCGTATTTTTCCTTTTTTTCCTCAATTTTTCCGGAAAAAAACAGGTTTTTTTCCGGCACCCAATTTTTCCGGAGATTTTAAATCTCTAGGTGGATCCTTCGTGGCGCCTGCTCACACGTCTCTCTCTCTTTGTGCGTGAGTTTTTGGCCCGAAGCTCAATCACTGCGACAGAACACCCGCCTTATTCACCCGATTTAGCCCCTTGCCACTTCTTGCTGTTCCCAAAATACAAAATGGTGCTTCGTTGGCGGCACTCGGGCGATGTGAACCCCATCAAGGTAGAGACGACACGGCAAATAAAGTGCCTCACAATTGAAGACTTTCAGCGATCGTATCAACAGTGGAAACGGCGTTGGCAGAAGTGCATCTTGTCTCAAGGGGAATACTTTGAAGGAAACCATATTGAAATACCTGAACAATTTTAAAATGAAGTTATTATACGTATATGTTATTTTCAGGACAAATCTAGTATCTATGTACTAATCAGTATCCGTAAGCTGTGAGGGTTCTAATCCCGGCCCAAAAGACCTGTTGGCCGGGAAGAATTTGTGCATGTCCCTCCGCTAGAATTCGTGTGACGTCCCCCGCAACTCAAAATGGCCCCTCGGAACTCACGGGTGTTTAGTCCCTAGGCCTTCATGGTGGATCTTGTATAAAAAAAATATTGAAATCCACTTTATAGACATGTAATCCAGGAAACGAACAAAAATATTAATCATTATTGAACATCAGTAACGCCCAGGTTACACATTAAACTATTGATCAATATGAAACAGTTCCATGAGTGGCCAGTTTTAAAAATCATTTTATATCCATAAATGTTTGGCGAGGAAAATTTTCAAAGCTGAAATGGAAGTTATCAGGTCAAAAGGCAATTAGGCATGCCCGTAAATGCTGACAAAATAGGGACAAAATTGCACATGACTGATTTTACAGCGTTGCCAGAATCGAAAGAAGGAAAACAGACACCAAAACCATGGGGGAAAATTTGGAAACATTATAGTGTGGTGCCTAGTGCTAGACAATTCAGATATTCAAGGTTATTCAAACTTACTTACATAGCATGGAAATTTATTATTTACAATATTTGATGTAATGGAAAAGTATAGGTGACTCACTCTAGTGGACAGAGGAGGAAGGAGGAAGAAAAACCTAGCTAGAGTAAAAACTACATAAAGTACAGAAAACTTAAAGTGAACCTTAGAAGTACAGTATCTGCTGTGTATTATGTTAAGCAGGTTGGCCCTCAGGGATCTGTACTGCGACCACTGTCATTCAACTTATATGTAAATGATTTGCTCATATCTCTGAGGGGTATGTTTGTAGATGACACCATGATTACTAAATCTGCAAAAATGTGAATCACATCCATTCGAAAATTCAACGTAGTTATTCATTCAATCAATAGTTATTCATTCATATGTATTGTTACAATTCGATTGATCTATATTGTTTTCTATTACAATTATTTTACCACATAAAGAAATTTCAAGTGGATATGGATAAAGATTAATCTTGAGATACTGGAATGTACACCAATCTCCAATCTGAAAACGTAAGTGGAGGCGCTACAAATATCAGACTTTTTATTTAGATTAATAGGGCAACTACACAAAGTAGTCGACTTTACTGATAAACAACGTCAAAATTAATATTATTTTTTTTATTAATAAATTTTGTCATATGAGGTGTTTCTAAATCTCATTTGATAGCAGAATTAAATCTTCATTATCTTCAGTTACTGCAGTCGGGTTATTTGTATTTTTCAGAAATGTAGCTTGTTTGACTTGAAGGTTAATTTTTTTGTAATTAAACGTAACCGACATTTACCCGACTGCCCCGGAAGGAGGGTTATATTGTTTGCGAGCGAGTATCTATGTGGACAGAAAGTTCTTGCACGGGCTACAATTCAAATATCTTGATGGATTTAATTATATGTATAAACAGTATCGCGGAGTTTAATCTAAAATTTCAACTTTGGAATTTCTATTTCGCGGGCTGCAGCTTCACCGGCTTGATGGAATGTGATATATAGATTTGTCGTGACGGGGTTATAGCTTAAACGGCCTAATGTATATATTTTGACAATTAAGGTGTCCTTAGATTCATCTTATATCTGATATCTATAAAACGCCATTCTTTTCTGTTACTGTTGTCAAGCTTTTTATATTTGCTAAAAATGTCGGTTTTTTGTGCTTTCTAAAAATGTACTTGTTTAAGGTATATTCATAATTCGCAATATCCTTTGCGCTTGAGTTAATAACTGTCAAAGTTAGCCATTTTACTTACAAGGCCTACTGGTAGGGAAGTATTGTAATCGCCAAAAATTTCGAAAATGGCATATTATGTCACTCATTTCTATCAATCGGTCTGTCTGTCCGCTAATCCGTGACCCCGCTATAACTTGGGAAGTACCAGTCGAGTAGTGATGCTTTTTTCACATAGGCCAAAGACGAACAGCGTTGTAGTTTTTCAAAATCGGTCCAGTGGCGCCGGAGAAAAAGGCACTAAAGGAGAATAAGTAAAAATCGCACAAGCTCCGTATTTTTACTTTTTAGAGGATCCAGATCATTTTCGAAAGAAGTTTTTTAGCGGTTAAACGTTGGCGTTACAGGTGATGGGTCAGGGTATTCCTTAATTGTTTGAAGTTGGTATATTTATACGCCGCCAACTCCAGTACATCATAACAGATGTCCCTGTATATTTACCATTAAAACTTAGGAATATTTCCAACAGTTGCGTGTCGATAGGTGCGATGTGGTCTCCCGATGGACGAGCGTCAGGCATCACAGTCGGCAATGGCTTTCGCATGGCTGTGGACTGTATGCACTGTGCATGGTGAAGGCCCATATTGTCATTCACGCGGATCGGTCATCGTGAGGATCATTTGCGCCTATAGGAAAAGGACGATTATTTAAGTTTTTGTTATACATGTTCGTAACTAAGTTTTTTTCTCAGAAGGGCTAATTTGTGCTGAACCTGATCGTTTACAGCGTTGCGAGGGAAATACAGAGTCAACTCACTTGACGCAATCTTCTTTCTAACAAAATACTTAATAGCACAACAACTAGTTTTCCAAGCCATAGCTCCACGCTTACTGCAGATCAAAAGTTAAGTATCCACAAGGTGCCTAGTTTTCAGTTCATCGAATGACAACAAATAACCTTAGTTCCTTGTAATCAATTTCCACGTTTCCGCAAATCAATCAATCATCTCCCAATGCGCGTATTTAGTTGGAGTTTGTTTTCGAATAGCTCGAGAGCAATGCGCTACGTCAATGCTGGTAACCTATTTTCGCAACGGCAGAGCCAACTCGAATTACAACGCTCGATGATTAAAAACCTGCCAATTAATTTAAAATAAATGGGCGCTGTCGTTGCCTCGTTTGCTGTACAGCAAAAATATCTCCGATTTCTGCGTCAATTGTCAAGATGTTTTATAGTTGAAATTGTGTTTACAGAAAGTCTGCTGCATCCTGATGCAGCTATAAATAAGCTTATTGCAATGGATCATAACAAGTCATAGGTAGAACAACAATTTGATCAGATCAAATACAGACCTGTTACTTGTTTTGCTCATAGATATTGTTGAAGTTGTCGCCGTTCAATCCAAAAACAAACAAAAAAGGTGTCTTAACATCTTCATAGATTCACAACATTTGGGGCTGTCATTTATTACTAATAGGTCGAAGGATATAAACGAGGTCATCTTGTGTTAAAATCGTAGTAATTTTTCCACGAGTCTGATCGAAATTTGACAATAAATAAAACATACTGTATCGCTCTTGCTCACACATTCAATTGGTAACCTACTGGTTAAACATCAGACTCGCTGTTGATGTACTTGACTATAGCCAAGTGTCTTAAAGAATAGGCTTCCATTTGTGGTAGTGATTATAACAGAATCATTTCGAAATTAGGTTTTCGGACACAAGTATACAAAAAATCTATGCACAGAAAATTTGGACACAACAGTTACCCAAAATACAAAATAAGTTGAATTAGAGAATTTTGTTAAGAATTTTAACGAGGTACTCTGATACCTGGGATAGAGCAGTATAATTTGTAAACAATAAGTTACTGTTTTAATACTAAAAAGAGAATAATATCAAATTTAGAAGTTTTCAAAAATTTTACCTGTAGGGATCTTTCTTCATCAATTCTATCCATGTAGTAGGTACATATTTACAGGTCGAAACAGCATGGATTTTTAACTTTATAGCTGAGTTTACCCTATTTCAGGCCTAATAATTACTTAGAGGTTAAATTCCAAGTCAATGTGAAACTAGGGCCTGGTTTTTGATTTTAGACAAACTTTTTGACATTAAATAATTTTTCAGATTGACGTATGTATGTAGGCTGGATTTGTTAGTTCCTCGTAGCTGGCGAGATGTGTATGAATTATACTGCAACTCCACTTTATATTGTGTATTCGCGATAAAAAAATCCTGACAGGGATCATTCTTTCCTTTCAAATTTTATATATTTTTTTTTTTCGTGATGAGCCAGAGATAGATTTTTCATAGCCTTGTCAACATACTAAACATATCCAACAATCAGAGTAGTCTGTTCTTTCTATCGACTAGTCTATATGTTTCAATCACAGCCTCGAAAATATTGGCAACGAGCACTCCCTTAATGGAAATTACTATTTTAAATGGTGGACAGTGCACATGGTGTACTAGCATTAATTATTGATAAAACGTTTGCACCAATTTACTGGATAAAAACATCATAAGTTAATGAAACGGCAATGCTACGTGATGGAATTTTTACGTGAAGACCTACAATTAAAGTGATTAACATTGATATTTTGATTTAAAATAATGTAAATTAAGGTGGAACTGACTCAGTACAAATAATAAAGATTTACAGCGTTAACACGATATGCATAAGACTAGTTTGAAAAACATATGTCGGTTTACACACCTGCTAATTGTGGTAGATGTCGAAACTGCTAGGAGAAAATTAGTTATATGTATTATTACAAGAAATAGTATCAAATAGTCTATGTCAACACTTTTCATGCATTAACCATTTACAAACTTGTGTTAGCTTTTCCAACATGTTGTGTCCAAAAAGTATGCTTTACTACACCCAAGAATCATAAAAAGATTGAAACACGATAACTACTACTACATTAGTTTCCTAAGGTGTCAAAAAGTTGCCTATAATGTCATTATTTGGCGTACGCTGGAAAACCTTTAAGATTGGAAATAAAATACATGAAAAATATTCCAAGTAGGATGAACATCAGTTACATCTCAACCTTAGCCAGAACAGCATCGTACGGCAGTTACGTCTGCAAATCGAGATCGAGTCACTAATTAAAAATAAACCTGATTTTCCAGATCGCAACATTGTCATATGAGTGGGGAATAATTGAAGGGTATGCCGGAACAACGTTCTAACCGCCAAAAGTTTAGTTTTGAGAAAAACGAAAAAAACGCTTTTCTATGTTTTACTCCGAAATTAAAAAAAGAAAACTGACAGGCTATTTACTAATCGATATTTTAATATATTTGAGAAACACAACATCTTTTTATAAACCATGTTAAACAAATTAAGAGCCTTAGAAAATAAATTCCCTAAAACAACGTTATATATACACGTCACTTACAACGTTTTTACACGGAAACGAGTCGTTTACGACCTTGTTTTACGCTTAATGGGTCAATTTTTTTTTTTATTGTAATACAGTGAACCAACATAGTTGGTGCTACAAGAAACATAATACAAATGGATAACATTTTGATGGTTTTAAACAACTTTCAGGTTTTCGTAAAAACTAACATATTTTAAGGGGATATAGTCACACATATCCATCAGGTTTGCCTTTTTTCCTTTTTGATCGAAAGTGCTTCATTATATGCCTCTTTAAGGTCTCTTATCGCTACTTCTTGTACTAATTTCTTGCGTGACTTCAACAAGTAAGTAAACCATGGTTGAAGTGTGTTGTGAGACTTTCTTACTCGTAAAGTATTCACATCATCTGCGGTCATTTGCCAACCACATTACTTGGGTGATTTTACATGATGGATCTTTATATATAACATTTTCCGCTGCCTGAAAATCCTTAAAAAAAGATTGATGCATGAAGATCACTTTAAATGGATTGGATACCTTCGACTTAGCGACAACATCAGCCCACTGTGAGGGAACAAATACTTTAGAGTTTTTTTGTCGTTCTATGAGAGAAAAGTCTCTATCACACGGCAAAAAGCTATGCCCGCTCGTAAGAAATTTTTGTTCGACTTGCGTAAAGAACTTTTCTAAAACTAGAAGTCGCAGCATTGTCAGCATTTTCCAGTTATTGTTCTGGCCCACACACCTGTCTGACCATACAACTAGTTTTCTTTCTTCACCTGCTTTGAGACGACTATACTTGTTAGTAATATAGAATAGTAGTGCTGAAGCAATCTCCATTGCTTCATGCCATAGTAACATTGTTGCGTTTTCCTCCCCCATATTATGAACAGCATAGTTATATGTTGAGAATTGCCTTTGATAGAATACAGATGAATGTGTTAAATTGGGACAAAAAAGCACTTGTTGCAGATCTGTGCACAACACAACATAATTTGGATTGAGTTTAGAGGTCTCGGTATCATCTTTCAATGTTTTATAACCCGCTTCAGCTTTTCTATGGTGGATCTCACTCTCGATTTCTATTTTTTTCTTTTCATTAGCGTCATCAGTTGAACAAAGTTTCATAAACAGCTTGTCACAATACGAACATGTGTCAGATCTTGGTAGACCAAATCGCAGATTGAACTTGCTCTTGAAAATGTCGTGATAAACCCTAAAGGAAATATTATTTGCATCGGGGTATTTCTCCTTAAAAAGTCTGAACATTTTTGAGATATTTAGATCAGCTGGAAGGCATTGTTTGGCTGAAGTATTTCTGCTGTAATGATTTTCCTGTAGGGGAAACGATCGGATGTGATCGGAAATGAGACCTACGTCCATGTTTTTCAACTTTTTAGGACGATTGAGATGCTTTCCACGTTGATCTTGAAGGTTATTCATGTTCGCTTTAAGTTTACCAATAAGCCACTGTAATCTTCTAGGCGTAATTGAGAATATATAACAAACTGTTCCTCTACATACTTGAGTGCCATTAATACTGTACTTTACAGTGCAATGTCTACGAGATATATTTTCCTCAACTCTCCTACGTTTTGGTTCTTGGAGGGATATGATTTGCGACAGATATTGCGACTGACCATCATAATGAAGCTTCCTAAATTTCTGGAACAGACTCACATGTCTTCCAACGAGCAAATCGGCGTTACATCCTCTGGGGGTTTGAGGACATTTGCAGACACGTTCCTAAAAAAAAATGCACACATTGCACGATATCCCATACTGTCAGGATGGTCACAGGCCCAAGCCATAAGTGAAATTTCGGGACCACGCTGCATATTGTGTATTAAACACCTTACATAAAAAACGGTCAACATTTTTTGTACACTACGAAAAATTGGATAATAATGTGCATCGCCTGTGGACACTTTTAAGTGTTAATAAATCTTACCTCTTCTGGCTGGCTTAACGCAGCCTTAGGTACGTTTCTCGATGAAATTTTTACCTCTGTTCATATGACTAATAATAGACTCTGATAAACTAACTTTCATCTTGCAGAAACCACGTGGGCTGTGGTAGTTTCGAAAACAAACTTGCTGAGACCTGTCGGCGCGTGCACATACAACGTTGTTACGTGGATATCAAGATTCACTGAATCATTTAGACGTCAGGACACCGATTAAATTTGTGATTCTCAGCTTGAAAGAGGGGGAGGTTATGCGAATGGATACATAGATCCTTGTTTTATAGAAATCCCACTTTTGACCAAACTGTCGGTTAGAACGTTGTTCCGGCATACCCTTCAATTATATCAGCCCATTAGACCGACTTGATTCATTAGGTTCCTTTGTTATACGTGTTCATAGTTTACTCTTCTGGAGGGCGTAAGCACGTTGTGTAAGAAGTGCGCAGTACTTGACGCCAGTTTCAATTATGATTCGTCCACGAAAACTTAGCTTTTCCAATAATGGTGGATGGGCATACTAAATATACAGCACATTCACCATTTTATTGACACTGACAAGCATGTGACTAGTAGTAGCAGTCTGTTTGAAAGGGTGTACCACCATGTTCTTAATGCGTGTATACGAGAGGACAGTATCGGCAGTAACTTGTACCCGCCGTTAGTCAACGTCAAGTTTTTTAAGGCATCGCGGTGGCGTAATGAAAGATGCTTCGCGCCGTGCCTACTAATCAGTTATCCTGATATCCTGAACGAAAGGAGTATTTTCGATGCCCGTGTCAAGCACAACAAAAATAGGAGATTAACCTGTTGCGAATGTTATACTCATCGTAACTCTAAATCTCAACGTTATTGGTCCATCGGAATGGCAACTTTGTCAAATGGTTGAGTACTAGGGACTAATTGTATGGTCCTATCTAACTATCTCATGTTTGTAGTCAACTTTCTTCTAAAAGGGACCAATTTATGCCGATTCTAGCCTTTTGTGAACCGGTGACTATGTTGTGAATGAAGTGCAGGGTCAACCTACTTGACGTTATTTCTTAACAGACCTGAACCTCGTGTAGAGGTACCTTAAGAAAAGAAACGTTTCTTACAAGCAACTGAGTGAGCTACGAGTTCATGTGGTATGCCTTTGCAAAGTTTGCTCAAGGATTATCGACTACCTAAAAGGTATCAAACACATATCACCCTGCACTTTGAAGTCGAAAATATGCATGCGTAGCTGCAAAGAAGACGACAATCAAAAGTGGAACGTTGTCGTCATTCAAGCGTGGAGAAGCGTAAAGTCTAGTGAATCGCAGATAGCGAGGACGCAACGCGCTGCTGTCAGAAATTTCCAAGCAGACCCAGCGGCGGAAATTACAGTCAGAAAGGTGGAAGTGAGTGGCAGGATGACGATGGAAAGGGCGGGGAAGTGAGAGGTGGGAGGTGGAGCGGGACGGAAATACGCGAACGAACGCGAGAGGACGATGGCCTTGGCGGTTGCTTGCATGGATGCACCAGCGGCGGATGATTATTGCGGTAGGTCTTGAATCATTGATGCTGTTTTAGTTCCCATGACGGCAAGCGGAGAATGCTTACTACTACCTAGGCCAGGAAATAGGTGCTTTTTTATACAATTTTTGCAAGTGTATCGTTGCCTAATTTGCTTCCTATGGGCTTGAGCATTTGTCGCCATTTTCCGTTTGATCGATAATATCAGAAAGCATCTATCCTATGTAAAGAAATGAAAACAATTTCTGTAGGAAATTAGATTATTATGATTATCATTTTGCTTCTACAAAAATTTGTCATATAGTCAACAGGTTACAAGAAATTTAAAGACAAAGATATGTACATATACTGTACTGTACTGTCTTTGACGATATCTGATTGCTTAATGCTGAATGTTAAATCACTGTTTACCGTACTTTCCGGAAAAAAGTATTACCTTATTCTGCACTTGGACGTTCAGATGCAATGTCCATTGTCACAGCTAAGTTTCCAAGAAGGTTCGCAGTAGTTTCCTCAAAAGTAATAGAAGTAGGCCCCATTTGAAAGGGAATCGTTTATTCTCAAATACGTTTATCAACATTTCAAGAAAAGATCACCCTCTAAGCCACTCGCAATTATTTCTAAAATTTCATATTATCAGAATTTCTTAATGACGGAAATGTAAATTCCATAACGGTGAGTAGCACACAGCACAACATCTTTGACGGTTGGAAAAAAATATAAATATTTTTGAAAATTGTACAATTTAACCCTAAAATAGGTCTAGATGTGAAGAGAGATCGTACAACATCATAGAATGGTTAATATATATTCCTGGAATGGAACCCCCATATTTAATTACATATTTGGCTAGATCTTCTCAAAATAAGAAAATGGTACAATATACACTGATACTGACTCACTTTCCAATCATGACATGAATAAGAGCGTGAAGTAACTTTAATCTCATCTAGTTTAGATTTATTCAAGGGAACATTTGTATTTTTCAACAAAAAATATAAACAAAAAGGCCATGGAAGAAGGAGAGCTAACACAGAGAACTAAGTGGACAGTAATGATATCCTATCAGATCAGGATCAGCTGACATCCAGCAGAACATGAATATAACCTAAGCATAAAAAGACTACTATCCTCTTTTGTAGAGACTAAAACTTCCTGCAAAAAAGGTTGTTCAAGTCACGGTCAACTTGCGCGACGTGCTCTACGTACGTTTCCACGTGTCAGCGTACATGTTTTCATGAGGGGATAACTCCATAAGTGATTGTCTGTGATCAAGAATGCCATTTTAAAGTGAATCCATTTGTTTACTGTCACGCGTAAATATGTAAAATGTTATATTTTTGGATAATTATTGCAACGATTTTAATGGAAATAGAGTGATTTTATAAACCAGCATTTCCTACTCTTCCATCAAAACTGAAATTACTCCGTGACAAAATCGTCAATAGACAGACTGATGGTAGCGAGTGACTTGATCTTCATAGTGAAAACAGACAGTCCGATGGAGAAGAATGGCAATGATTTTTGTCATATAGCATCCAAAAAACATAATCTCATTTTCAAAATTGTTCGCGTTCTCAATACTTCCTCACCAGTTGTGTGGAAAGTAGTATACATAAGAAAAACGATTTTTTGTTCCCATATTTTAGAAGCATTCTAGTTTGGGCTCACCTTCCATCTTAGTGGACCATAGGCCCAGGAAATGTTAATAATAATAATAATAAGAGAAACCTCAGTGCATCATGAAGACAACCCCACAAAGCTACGTTTTCTGTTAATTAAGTTTGACGAGCTAGAATCTAAAATAATTTATGAACGTCCGTGGAAAAGATAAATGAAAGCCGCTACCCTCAGAGATCTTGATCAATTTCTCCAACCGCTGTTCTCGAAGCTTAGTTCAGGAAAATTATGTCAAAGACGTCCGTGTGGCATCTATACGTTTACAATCTATGTTACATGACTGGCGGATTTAGAGGGGGGCACGGGGGGCGCACGCCCTTCCCCCTAGACGTCTGACATTTGCTTTTGCAATCCAATACCATCGTGTCACTTTCTGTCACATCATGGTGACAGTCCTGATGACATTCGTAGGGCTACAAATCTTGTCCATGAAGTGAGAAACGCACTGCACGAACTCCGCAACGAGCAATGGAGCGACTTTCTGGCGGGAATGCTTGATTCAAGTATTCCTCTCTGGAGGGTCGCAAAGTCACTCAGAAACGGAAAGCGAGAACAACTCCCACACATCCACGGTCCTGAAGGCATAGTCTTCAGAACGGAGGATAAGGTCGAGGTTTTCGCTGATGCCATGGAAAAACAGATCTCTCGCAACTATGTTCTCGATAATGACCTCGACGAGGAACAGCACATCGTACGATCCGTCAGGAGATATTTTAGGGCCAACGGCGTTAGCGGAGGCACTGAATCCTCTTCAGATGACTCTTCTTCAGAAGATTCGTCTGAGGCTCCACATAGCACATTAGCGGAACCCTCCGAGTTTCCACATTGCACACCAGCGGAGTTACTAAGTCATATTAAAGACCTCAAGGTGCGTAAAGCACCTGGGGAGGATCAAATCACCAACAAGGCGTTGAAGCTGCTCTCGCCGAAAGCCCTGACATACTTGGTGACAATATTCAATGCGACGCTCAAAATCCAGTACTTCCCTGCTGGGTGGAAGACTGCTGAGGTCATCATGATTCCAAAGAAAGTGGGTTCGATATTTCCTCAGGATTACCCTCCCATAAGTCTGCTGTCAGCTCCTTCTAAGCTCGCCGAAAAGGTGATTTATCGTCACCTTGAGAATTTTTCGTCAAATCACCATGTGATTCCTGACGTCCAATTCGGTTTTCGGTCCGAGCATAGCACCGAGCTACAGGCAGTCAGGCTGGTGGAGCATGTAACCAGAGGGTTCACCCTCAGCATGAGTACTGGCATCTTGCTTTTGGATGTCTCAAAAGCCTTTGACAAGGTGTGGCACGCGGGCCTCCTCTATAAACTAATCCAAAAGGGTTTTCCTTTTTGGCTTCTAAAATTACTGAAATCCTTTCTTGAAGGAAGGAAGTTTCGGATCAAAATTAACAATGTTTTGTCAACATCACGGCCAGTACGGGCCGGAGTTCCTCAGGGTTCGGTCCTAGGACCAATTCTTTATTCGCTTTTCATCCATGATGTCCCTTCCCCCAGCAACTGTGAAGTCTACCTCTATGCTGACGACACTGCACTTGTCACCCAGTCGTGTACTGGTGATCTGGTTCACGATGGGTTGCAGAATGCGGTGGACGAA